GTAAACATTAATCAGGAACTGAAGGCAGGCAAGTGACAAAACTCTAGCATATCAAACCTGGCAATTTGCCTCACTACATACCAAAGATGCTGTTGTATCCTGGCAACTGATAACCTCAATCTCCATGGGCTGCTTTCCCACATTTTTCAATTTTTCCAGCACTTCGCTGACACCAAGCCACTTGCAATCCATGCCACCAACTGATACAATGTAGTCACCTTCTTTTAGGCCTGCTGACTGTCAAAAAATTGGGCACAGGTTATTATCCAGAATTAGAGACATGTAAAATGTTTTTGTCATCACAGAGTATCTGTCCCAAAGGCATTTCACTCTTAGATGCTACAAACCCATTCTCTAGCCACACAAGTGCAACTTTCTCAAGTACACAAACTACCTCTGGAGTTACCATGGATGTGATTCTGCTATAATCAAATGTTGGCTGTTTTTGTGTTATTTTCATTTTTCTCCTTAAGTAAATAAACCCTGGGTTTTGCTATGCTATTGTCCCCCAGCAGACATTTTCTGCAGTGTTTAGTTATTTTTCATCATTATTTTTATTTGTATTTCTGTGGTTACTTCTGCCTTTTCTATAAGTAAACTGCTTTTCACTGCATGCTGCTTTATCCCTTTGGATTTTCCCTGGAAGAGCAACATTAAAAGTCAATAAAATATTCTTGCCCTTCTTTCCTTAGGCAAACACCACACCTTGTATTCTCTTCCTGATCCTTATTTTTCTTGCTACCTTTTACAGTATTTATCCCTTCTAACTTCCTGAATAAGACAGGAAGTAACATTTGCTTTTATTATTTGTGACTTTTTAACAATGAACAGATAAAGAAATCAACTCATGTGATGTTGGGGATATGGGTACTTTAAGAATCTGCAGCATATATAGCACTTAAAATGCATTCAGATTATATGAATTTACTATCCTCATGTACAGAACTCAAAAAATACTCCATCCACGAGTATGAAGTAGCTAAAGGTACATTTTGATGCTAGAGTCTGCAGAGAAATGGTTCCTATATACTTACAGCTGCAGAACAAACTGGATCAAGACAATAAACCTGTACTGGTGAACCTCCTTTCAGACTGAATCCAAGCTCTCCTGCTTCATGGTGAAGGCAAATGGTCCGTGGGGCTGTCCATCTCTGCTTGGCTGAGAACACTGTCAGTGGGCCCTGCAGGGAACACAACAGCAGGCATACTGTGCTTTACTGTCACTTGTAAGTGAGCATTTCTGGTTTTGTAAGTCATAATGCTTTAAGCTCATCTATTGTAGATTTTACTCAGGTTAACTCCCAGCTAATTCCCCGGAAATGCAAAGGGATTTCTTGACTGTTCAGTTGGTACTTCAAACAGAGTGGGATAAAGGCAACTGCCAAGTTGTTCCAGGATCTCTGTGAAGTTGTGCAGAATCCTCTGGCTGCATAGGCTGTAAGGTCCTGTATTACTCCACATCAGAGGAGATAAACAGATTCATGAAGCATTGCATATTCTGATCCTAACCATATTTCCAGTTCCTTTTGCTCACTGACACATACAGAGCCACCTGAAAGACTGGCTGTGTCACATGCAAGTCACACGTTCTGCATGCCTGTCTCCACAAACTAGGTATCTCTCCCTCCCCTTAAGTTGTGTGCAATTATCTCTTGAGACTTCATGGGACTTCTATTAAGGTTTTCAAGACTGAATGTTGTGCAAGCCATACAGAAATAGCACTTCTATTCTTTGCTTCTCTCAAGTAGACCTATACCTCTAAAGCTAGGAGGGATTTCTACAAAAAAAAAACTTCTGAAAAAAACTCAATTATTACAGGATCATTTTTTCAGGCTAAAATACTTGTGTCCCTTCCCTCACATTAGAGTGAATTTATTGTTGCTATCAAAATGGCAGAATTTGGTCAGCATCAGTATATTGTTACATACCAGCTTGTGAAAGAAGTCTTTAACTTTCACCTTGGAAAACTGAGGAGCAATTGTTTCTATTTTATGTTCTGTTTTAGCTGAAATAAAAAGAAAACAAAATTAATTTTAAGTATTAGTTAAAACAATCAAAATTTATTTTTCTTGCATTCCAAGCTACATAGGAATTTGTCCTAAATTCTTACTGGGCTGTGGAAAAATTGATCTTTGTGGAAGTTTGTTAGATATCAGAACTGCCTTAAAAATGTCTTCAGAGCTCACAGTATCAATATGGAAAACTTAAAAAAAAAA